GACTCACGTGGTCATAGCAATCCATGTAGCAGCCCAGTAGAGGCTGCTGAGGCCTTAAATAATTGAAGTACTTCCTACTTTGGAGAATGTAAAAACTCTTTTACTGAATTAGACTCAAAAAATAGTTTTCCAGTAATATGGATGGATTGAATTCATGCAGAGGGTGAGATATGCCTTAACAAATATCATCGTGATAAAGTGGAGGTAGGTGATCAGCACAGCATTTACCAGTGTCCCTGAAACTATGCAAGAACGAAGCAGTGGTGGATTTGCTATGGGATGATTTTGTCCTACTGAAAAATCTTTGACTTCCTTTACTACAAACGGTCATTCTTCCCCAGCCTTTCTGTGTATTTCAGATTTATCAGTGTGCAGGCTGTTCTTCTCACTCACACTTCCCTCTGCCAGCCTACCATGCCCATTAGCGCTTTGATTGCAAAAAATTTTGCTTATTTTCAAGCTGATTATTTCTGTCCCCGGGCCGTTCTGACACCATAGGATTCACTGTTGGTGCTTCTCATAGCTTTGGAAACAGCTAAATCACAAAATAGAGGGAAAATAGATATTATGCATTTTAATTTTATTAAGCCAAAAATGGGGAGCAGGATGCAGATTATTTTTGGCTGTTTTTTTTTCCCTTGAGAACAGACTTTGTTGTGTCAGATAGTTGATTATGGGCATGGTGAAGGTTTCTACTTGTTGATAAATAGCTCACTAGATATAATTATTACATGACTGGCAATATAGTGGTGTGTTCTATGCAGACTGCAGCATGTGAAAATCAAGTCACTGTTAAGTCCTCGGTGCCTACAATGCTCCTGGGGTAGGAGGGAGAGCTAAAAAACTTCTAAGGCATTTCTTAATGCTGAGCCAAGGCAGGGATGTGAGAAAACAGCTTGATGAAGAGGCAGTGGTGATTATGGTATTAAATCCATTCTCATGCTTGGGGCACAGAACTTTGCAAGCTGGGTTGATGGGGATAATCAACCCAGTACTGGATGGTTCTTCCTTTGTCGAGCTTCATTTAACAAAACAAAAACAACCAGATTTGCCTTATAGGGAGGGGATTAAATCTTTATCATTCAACTGCAATAAGCATCCCACTTTCAGTGAAACAAACAGAATAGAAGCAAACAGGTAGTGCTTGATGAAAACATCAAACAATATACAGACCGCTTTCTGAAACACAGGACCACCTTTGGGAAGCATAGGTTGCCAGGCATGTTTGGAGGGAGGATTGTCAATCCCTTGCTTGAGTTGTCTCTTCAGAAAGCCTTTTTTGCAGTGGGGAGAGGAGAGTGGAGAAGTGCAAGGCTCCATACCTTGCATTTTCCTGAAAATCATCTTGGGATTCTTTGCAAGTTGTGAATCCCTTTTTTCACTTGGTCCTTCTAATTTGCACAGGACTGGGTTATTTTTCCTTTGTAATCCCATTGCAGACTACCCCATAATGAGCTGATGCATCAGTTTACTGCTTAAGGACACTTTGACTCTAGCAGGCAATTCCTACCCATTTTCTTCAAGAGCCATAAGAGACTGTAAAAATCTCCCTGAAACATGTGAAGGAGAAACACAAGGTGAAAGACATGCTAGTAAAGACTATGTGTACTGGAGGGTTGCTGGGAAGGGAGAGTGTTCATCACAGCTTTGGAGGCATTTTGTAGACAATATTACTTACCATGATGCTGCTAATTTCTGCCTTTTGATTGCTTTTAATTCTTTGAAATCTGAAGTTGTTAACCTATCTTTTTCTTTCCTCCCTGCCCCCAGGTAATAAGCAGTGAGATGCTTCACAGGGCCAGGGGAAACCTTGGTCGTGGTGGGAGGCAGAGAGCTCTTGGGGGTCCTTCTGTGTCTCCATATGTGTCCCTGTTACCTGCATCCCCCTCCCTCTTCTCTGGCCAGCTGGCCTTTCTCTCACACATCCCCATATGCTCTTGATCTCACTAGTTTATAAAGAATATAATAACCTGTAGAATTGTCTAGTCAACAGGGATAAAAAGATAGCTCATCTTATTAAAAACCTTTCTCAGGAAAGCTTAAGAGCACCGGCTTGGTCATCTGTCACACCCTGATCTCCTCCTTACCTTTAGAAAGAAAAGTACTTTATTTTTAGCTATCTGCTGCATTCAGCTAGACTCTATGCAAATTTTATTTAATGAATATTTTAGGGTTTAAATAGTCTGTGCTCATGAACATTATATAAATGTCATGTTGTCGCAGGCTCTCTGGTAACAGCATGGAGAACATCCTGCAGCGCAAAGCTGAAACCAGAAAAAATCTGTGATTAGTGCTCCCAGGAAAGGCAGTGATGGCTGTGTGAGTGGTGGTTGTCCTCAGCAGGGGCACTACCAATGCAGTCAGGGGAGAGCACTGGGGTACCCCTGAAAAACCAGCAGCACTCACCATTCTGGACTGAGAGACATTTCGTTCAGCACAGGTAGCTGGCGTAGGACCAGTTTTGCTCTTCCACAGGCTTTGGCAAGCCCTAGGGATGCATGGATCATACACCAGATCATTTGTCATCCCAGTGCAGAAGAGATAGTCTGTTTAAAGCTGAAATATTGAGACTAGCCAGGATAGCTTGGAAATCTTCCTTTTTCACATCAAAATAGTTTTTTACAGGTGCTTACTGTTTATTGTATTTGGTATGCCAGACAGATGGTGATAGCCTTCTTCAGCAAAATGCAAAGAACAAAAAAACCCCAAAAAAATCATCCAAAGTATTTGCTGCCTTTTTATTTCTTCATCCTCCACGTATTTCCTTTTCTTATATTTCTACTCCTTAAATACACTGTACACATGTAAAAACCCAAGCTAAAACCTCAATAAATAAACAAAACATACTGGTATACAGAGCAATTATTATGTGTTGGAAGCAAATGCTTGGTATTTTGACAGCGTTGCTTAAAACCCTGAACAGCAACTTAGAATATAAAACAAACATAGCTGCTGCACAACCTCCTCAGAAAGGTGTGCATGGGAGTACTTGTACAGATGACCCAGTATCTCCGACTGCCACTTAAAATCCACTGCATCTTAAATTACAACTTTGGAAAGGTTATTTCCAGCAGCAGGATGCTCGATGGATAAATTGTGGCTGTAATAAAACTGTTTTCAGCCTGTCTTTTCCTACTTCTCTTGGAAGCATCTCAGGCAGAGTTTAAGTTGGGTCACTGTGGCAGCAAAGTTCAATGCAGGCATAAGCCCTGTAGCCTTTGTGTCCCACCAGCAGCAGAGGCTTCACCTTTCAGTGGGCATGAGCCTGTGGTAGCATCCACTGATGGACTGAGGTGGGGGGGGAATGAATGTGGAAAACTAAGCGGTCAACGAACTGGGTGGAAGATGTTTGGTTATGCCCCTTGGGAAGCAGCAGCACTGCACCCAAAACATGTCATAGGACTTGGTTGCACGAAAGCTGCAGAGGGGGTGTGGGTAAATGGACTTTGCGTGGGGGGAATTAAAAGAAAAAGCCTCTGATTTCTGGCAAGGCTTTGTCCTTTGGCTGAAATGTGCCAGAAGCAGTTTCTCAGGTGGTTTCTGTGGGCATCTGGAGAGAAGTGCAAGTTTGTATGAGATTAGCCCATGTGCGACAGGAGGCTAATTTGAGGCAGGCTACAGCCTGGCTGTGGCTGTTGGGTGCCTGCTCTGGCCAGCCTCTCGTTTCCTCACCTAAAAAAATACGTTTTGCCACCTGCCAAGCAGGCCTTTTTTTTGAGAGGGTCCCTCCCTGATAAATGGAAGAGTTGCTTTCCGTGCAAGCACCTCAGCTCTGCCCTTTGGTCACCTTCCCCTCACCCACCTCCTTGCTTGTGTTGCTGCCATTCTTACTTAGAGATAAAAGGCCTCATTGCTTAAGCTGCTGTTGATATCAGCCAGGAGGAGTGCTTCATATTAAATAGGTGGAATATTTGATTTTTTTTTTTCCCCAAGATACACCGTGCACCCAGGCATTTTCAGCTGTTGACAGTTTGAGCTGCAATGCAAAGCAGCCCACCAAGCTAGCAGCAGCAGTGGAAATGAAAAGAGAAAATGCATCCCACTGCTTGGGAAAGAAAAAAAAAAGAAAACAAAAGAGATGAGCAAAGATTAAAAAGATCAGTCAAAATAGCCAAGCTGGGAGATGCCTGAAAAGTTGCCGGTTCTGCCCGCACCACTTTCCCTGTAATATTCTTTATTATGCCATACAGAGCAACATAGATTTGGGTGGTTGGGAAATGGAGTGAAATCATTTATGCTTAGAAAATGACTCCAAGATACCTCTTGATTCTTCTTCAATGTGTCTAGCCTATCTTAACCTCTCCCTGAAATATTATTTATGAAGAAGCCTGCATATGTTCACCCCAAAATACATGCGGCTGTGTCTTTCCAACCTGCACTTGTGAAAGGAGGTGTTTTCCTCCCTGGGGCTTCAGTGATTATAGAGGCAGCTGTAAAGCAGAGCACTCAGGATATAAAGTGCCCTTCAGATAGTGTCTGATAGCAAAACAAATCTGTTTATTCTGCAGTCATTTATACTGACTGTTTATCATTAAGGGGGGGCTGGGGGTGAACACACTACAAAAAATGCAGATTGCTAAAACAAGCCTATTGGGTTGGTACAAGCTGGTGGCTGCTGCTCAGCTCTGTGCTCTCCTTGCTTGAGCTGGGCTAAACCCAGAGGAACAAAAAGACACCTTGGCATCACCCTTCTTCTGCAGAGCGATGGGCAGCAGTGGTTGATGCTGTCAGTCCTTACACCATTCAACAAATAACTGGCTCATGTGGGGCTAAAGCTAAGCAAAACTGTAGCACCAAATTCAGCAAAAAGGATGGGAGGAGATTCCCGATGGGATGCTGACCCATAAATACATTCACCTGTTCTGAGCAAGCCTTCCTTTTCAAGGCAAGCCCAGGCATTCTTTACTTTGTCTGGGGGTGGAAATGGTCTTGAAAATAGCTGGTGGTTGCTTGAGGGTCCTGTTCTGGGGCTTTACCTGCTCTCCCCTTGTCTTTCGCAGAAAGTGGAAGGACGCCCAAGCAGGAGCCAGTCTTCAGGCGAGTCACCATGGAAGACAGTGTCATCTAGCACCTGGGGCACCCAACAAGCCTGCCTCAGCAAGCCCATGCCAGCGTACCACCTCAGCCCCTCTGTGCCTCAGTTTACCCATCCCTCACTTGGGATCGCGCAACAGGAGAGGCAGGAGAAACTAGCCTCAACAAAACCCTCAGCAAACCCTTGCATCCCCAAGGAGAAAACAGCCCAGCTGAGATTCCTGCTGCCCTGTGCATGGCAGTGCCCTGGAAAGTGCCCTCACCGTTTGGTCGCTCGCCTGTTTTTTAAGATGAGCAGAACGGGTGAAAATTGTCTTTTGTAATAAGAAATTAGTTTCATCTGCTCCAAACGTTGACTTTGCAACTTGATAGCACTTAAAGATGGCTGAGCGTGCTCACTCCACCATCCTGAGCCCCTCACCATGCTTGCAAGCTGGGCTGTATAAAGTGAACCCACTGGATCCAGGTTACTGTTGTAAATACAGACCTGTCTGTGCAAAGAGCTAACAAGGAAAGGAAAAGAGGGACAAAGAAATAGTCCTTGCACCAGAAGAAGCTGAACTTGCCAACAGGGTACTGTCAAGCAAAGCTGTTGTGTGTAAATAGGGACTGGTACATGTGTCCAGCAGCAGCTCTACTTGGCAAAAGCTTCTCGGGGGAAAGCTGCTCAGATTTTATTGTCTTGTGTAAATAGAGATATTTTTTTGAAAAAATAAGCCTTAGTATCTTGAAGATAGCGTTTCTCAATCAGCTCAGCTGGGGATGGATATGTGGGAAACCATGGAGTCTGCCTGTGGAGGCTGGTGTGGGGTCTTGCAGCCAAGCTGTGCAGTCACGGTGGGTGCAGGAGGCACCTGAAGGATGACAGACCCATCCATCAGAGGACTCGGCAGACAGTTAATCCTTCATCCCTGTAAACAGGGTGGACTCACTGGGCCCATGGTCTCCACTGGTGTAAATACTCAGCTACAGCCCACAGAGGACTTGGGCTGCTTGGTGCAGTTGTAGGGGGGGTGGGGGTGGGATGGGCAGAAATCACCAGAAGGATTCAAACCCCATCAGTGTGGTTATTCCCAGAGTTTTAGCATTAGTTTAAAAAAAAGAAAAAAAAGAAAAGGAAAAAAAAGAACCCTTGAAGGCTTATTAATGGTGTTGGGCCAATAGTTCAGCTGGCTAAATGGAGGCATGCATAGACATCTGTGTCAATGTCAGCCAGTGCCTGTATGTGCAGTTCTCCTCAGCATGTTCGCAAATGCGTGTGCAAGACTGTGCCTGGTGCGGGTGGGTGCCAGCCAGTGCAGGTCCCCATGTCTGTGTAGCTGTGTCTGTGAGAGAAGAGAGAATATGGATGTGTATGTTGTACTCGACTTTATATGCCCAAGCAAGCTTGAGAAGTCATAAGTAGTGCTGCCAGGTCCAGCTTTATTAGCATTAGCTCAGAGTAGTGTCCGCACCTCTCCATGGAACGAGGCGTGGTGGGGGTGGCATTAGGTGAGTAAAAGCTGATAAATCTCTGCTCCCCATTGAGTTGTCATCCACTGTCCCCTGCCACAGCACAACAGTGGCCATCTGCAAACACTGCCAGCAGAACAGGGCTGCACTCAGGCACGGGCGCTTGCAGAATGTGAGCTGCTGCAGAATGGTACCTGATGGAAGCTGGAGAAGAGCTTCGGGTGTTCCCCTTCATCCTTCACAACTACTTATGCCTTATTTACTCAGAGTCCAACCATGTGGATTCAGCCAGTGCAGGGAAATTGGAAAAAAAGAATTGAAATTAAAAACTGAAATCGGGGAAAAAAACACACTTGAGAAAAAAAAAGATATTTTTGAAAATTACACAGAATAACTTTCTCTAGACCTAGAAGACTCTCTTCAGCCTAGCATTTTCTAGAAAGCAGGGCCAGCATGAAGTGTCCTTCCCCATTAAAAAGCCAGATAGTATCAACCAACATATTTAGAATAGTGTTGGGGGCAAAGCCCCTATACCTTTGCTAGGAATGGCCAGTGGGCAATAAACAGAAATTGGAAGCTGCTTTAAATGACTGAGGAGTGCGGGTATCTAGAGAGGTAATTTGCTTGCAGTGGTTCAAGGTGAGCTGCAAGGGTTGGTCTTTTCCTCTTGAGTACTTGAATACCTCCTCTGTCATCCAGCTCTCTCTGGCTGCTGTTGCCATTAACACCTAACAACTGCTAGTGCCAAGTTATTTACATATTTATCACATTTATTTATTTATCAAACCAGTGCACAGAGGACACTGTGCTTTCATTTGCCACATGTGGATGCCTCTTCCCTTGCCTGCTTCTCCAGCCTTGTGTAGTGTCCCTAGGCAAGGTGACCATTGTCTTGGCGAGGGCTGCAACTGCAGGAAAGAAGACATTCCCTGTTTTTCCACTAGGTTGCAGGAAAGCAGAAATCCACTGGGTTGTGTTGAGTGGTGGATTTTTTTTTCATTAGAGCCCTCACTATTAGTTTCTCTCCCCAGACAATCCCATCATCCTGCACCTTAAACCCTTGCCATTATGTCTAGAAGAGTTATTCTTGGAGGCGTTTACAACAACCTGTAATGTTTCTCTCTTTTTCCAACCCTGAAGAGGCTGACACCCAGTAACTGACAGTTGTAATGATGAGCCAGACCAACCCCAAGTCCTAATAAAAATGATGAATCCCATCCACTGCATCCGTATTGATGGCACACAGGTTATGTGCGGAGGTGAGCCAGTGAGGAGAGGGAGGCAGATATTCACTGAAGATTGTGTCTGGGAGGTGCTGTTACCAAACCCACCCAGCCGCTGGGTTCCCCAGGGCAGACTTTTGATTTAATCCAGCCCTGAGTCAGTAGTGATTGACATTTCACTTGCTTTCCATATCTTAACTGGACTTCCTTACTCCTCAGGCATGGAATGAATCTTAATACATTGTAATTACTGTACTCCTGGTGGTGAACCAGTATGAAAAGCTATCATGGAGAGCATTAATAAAATGTACATTATGAAAAAGAACTCGGCATTGTCTGAAATTAATAACGCACCAGATTTTTCTCATCCATGCCTGCTCATCACAGGCATGCCCTTGAGTTTTCTATTAAAATGACTTATTCAAACTACCTGTATAGCTGTGTTCAGCGTGAAGTTATCTGCTGTAAGTTTGGATCCCAGTTAGATGTACCGCATGAGGACTTATTAATCTTTTATGTCTTTCAGTCATTGATTTTAGTGACATTTATGTAACGCCAGTATGACTAAAATGAACTGATTGATTCATGCGTATGGATTAGTTTGCCTAAGACTTTGAGACTAGGTAGCTTTATCATGCACTGTAACGCCAGAATTCATCACTGTATTATTTACGAGAGACTGAACTGGCTGCATCTCAATAACTGAAGAGATCTTCACTGTTTTATTTATGTATAAATGTTTACTTAATCAGCCGCCAATTTTGTTTAGCAGAATTTGTTAGCAAACGGAAATTGTAAATGATAACGTGGTTTCTATTTTAAAATTTATAGGCTTTCATCTATAGCAAAATCCAAGATTTCCAAAGTGTCTTTGTCTACTGGCAATCAACAAGCTCTCTTGTATATGCTTTCTGGTAATTGCAATTAGCTGCTGCAACATTTCACATAAAAAATAATACAACCCTAATACGGGAGATCTGACTGGTAGTGTGTCAAAGTCGACATAAATATCCCAGCACTTAGAAACATCGCTGCAAGTTTAACAAAGCAACAAGGAGCCACTGGACAGTGCAAAGGCAGGAACCCTGCAGCTTGAGTTGTGGTGGGTGTCACTGCTGGCCAGCTGTGGCTTTTTGCTGGATCAAGGGGCAGGAGGATGCCACCAGCCAGTGCCTGGGGACCAAACAATGCCAATCTGTAAGGCAGAGCCCATGGACATGCCAGTGTGTTGAGTTCTGCTGCCTTCCCTTATGAGAAAATCCCAATTCCAGATTAAATGATGTGAAACTGTGTCTCAATTGCATGGGCCACACCCCCTGCAACAGCTTGAAGAAAGCCTGGTCAAAGGGGCAAGGAAAGCATCTGCTCACTGTGCGTTTCAGCAGGGAAAGTAGTCAGGCTACAATGTGGGTTTAAGAGTATAGCATCTCAAGGAGTCTTAATCCCAGGTTCCCAATCAATGGCACATGTTTTCTTTGGACCACTCTGCTTCTCCTGAGGACCAAGGAATAAGGAGACTAAATGGATTTATTAAATGAAAGTGGAGACTTTCCTGTTAGGAGCCATTTAGAAATATTTTTAGTGCAGAAACACGGAAGAAGTGACATGTTAGAGGCCTATAAAATAATAAGTAGTGTCCACAGAAGGTGAATTGAGTGCTGCAGTTCACCATAGGTAATACAGCAAGTGGTACTCTGCAGGGAAATGAAAAAGCAAAGTCTTAAATGTAGTTATAAGTAATGCTTCATTACCCATCACGGGATTAACCCACAGACTCCCTGACCCAATACACCAGTAAGGTGATGTACAATGAGCTTCAGTAAGACATTATATTGTTTTACAGTTTAAAGAAAGAAAAAAAAAAGTAAAAAAACAAAAAGCCTGTCACCTACAGTCTCTTATTACAGGGTCAGAAGTAACTGATAGCTCCCTGAGGAAATGAAGAAACACCCCTGCTGAGTCTTCAGCCATATTTCACACTGTTGTGATTTTTTTTTAACCATATTTTTCTTACATAAAAAATTAAAATAGTTTTAGGTATGCCTGGAAAATGACTTACCAGCTGGGAGTGCTAAAAGAGGAGTAAACTTTGCACATCAGCACCCTGGGCTTCAAGAGCATGGCCTCACAGGAGAGGGATGCTGAGGGGTACGTGCGCCTCACAATCATTGAACCAGTCGCTGCAGCACTGTTAAGAGTTGGCTCACAGCACATGGGTAACATCACTGATGCTTTATTTCTGTGGACTGTGCATGGCTAGTAAGGGCAAACCCCATGTCCCTCCCTTGAGCAAACCGAGAAAGACCACCACCATTCTGCCTTGAATCCACTTTGCACTCCAGCGGGTCAATATTTAAAGCCAAACACATCCCCCTTACTGCAAATTCACACACCTAAAGAAATGAGATTTATGGGTTGGGGCTTGTGTTGTGAGATTCTTTTCAACAGGAAACTCCTGAGGTAGAGGTGTGAGGCCAAATGATACTGTCTTGGTCAGCGAGGTGGAAATGTGAGGGTGGCACCTGAGCCTCAGCAACCTCATTTCACCTAGGACTACTGCTCATCCCTTCTTGGGGCACAGAGCAATGTTATTAGTTTTGTTGAACAGCTTGTGATTGTGATCTGATACAAGGGGCCCTAAATTGGGAGCTGCAGGTTTGGTTTTGGTTTCTTTACACACTGACACAAAAATTGAAAACATAAGTACTAGCTAAAAAGGCATGGATGCTTTATGAGCCATTTATATAAGAGGCAGCTCATATATCCACCAGTTTGGTGGCTTTCAGGCTTTAGAACAGATGTTGAAACCTACCATCCTCAAGTACGCCATGGGCTGATTTTGACCTCAGGCCAAGGTGATATACCAAACCACAGCCCTGGAGCTGAGAGGTTTATGTCCTCTGAGGTCTATTGCTGTTGGATTAGACTTGCCTCTGGAGTGCTCTCAACTGGGTTCCTACCATTTCTTCTCATCTAGCTTCTGTTTCAGCTGTGAGCTCCATAATCATGGAATCATAGAATGGCTTGGGTTGGAAGGGACCTTAAAGATCATCTCGTTCCAACCCCTCTGCCATGGACAGGGGCAGCTTTCAACTAGACCAGGTTGCTCAGAGCTCCATCCAGCCTGGTCTTGAACACCTACAGGGACTGGGCATCCACAACTTCTCTGGGCAACCTACATGCTCTTGTAAAATGTCCCTCTCCATTCTTGTAGGCTCCCTTTAGATGCTGTAAGGCTGCAGGTATGTCACCCCTAAGCCTTCTCTTCTCCAGGCTGAAAAAACCCAATTGTCTCAGTCTGCAGGTTTGTTCATTATTCATTTAGGGCAATTAGGAGAAGCACCTGACAAAGGCTTCAAAAAAAAAAAAAAGAAAAAACAGAAAAGGTAAAACCCAGCAAAAGTAAGTTAAAGTCTAGGAGCTGCTTTAATCAGCTTTGTGCCCACCTGGATATTAACTCTGGATATTAATTGGAGAAGTAACAGTAGCATGTCTGTGTGTTTCTTGGAGGCCCCTTAGCAAGCCCAGGGTGATTCTGATGATGGTTTCCTTTATGTAGACCAAAGTGATGAAGCTGATAGTGTTGGAGCAAAGTTATTACTCCTGGCTGAACTGAAGACTAAACTTTAGGAAGATGTTTCAAGACTGACTGGAGTTTTGAAGAATGAGGACCCCTCGGTAAGACACTTAACATGCTAACTGTTTCTCCTGATGTGCAAGTACTGCAGTTTGACTTGTGCCTCAGCAATTAGATTTTATTTCCTGTCTTATGCCCTGTTTATCCATGCTAATAGCTCTCCTAGATCTTTTTGGATAACACCTGCTGTGTAGGAAGGTATAAAATTGTAAGGAAAGGCTAAAAATTTGTCACCATAATGTCGTCAAAATGGTCTCGATTAAAGGTGTTGCTGCAGGAGTCTGATTTTTTTTTTTCTCAGGCTCCTCTCCATGCATATGAGCTTTTAGTTAGTCATGTTTCAAAATAAAATGAATACATGTATTTTTTTTTTCAATCTGTAAAGCTAAAAATGAAGCTGTTATGTGCATGCTTCCTTCTGCTTGGATGCACTTGCCGGCATCTTCTGCTGTGGGAAGCTGAAGTCACTGATGGCAAGGTTAAATTCAACCTCTCCTTTGTATGTGTTGAGGGGGGATAAACCAACATGTGCAAGGTGGGATGTGGGGTAAGGGTGGCTGACCCTCAGGCTGATGTGCTTTGCTGTCCCACAGATGCAGAAGCTGCACAAAAATGTCTTAGAAAACCTAGCTTGCTTTGCAAAGTCTTCTACCCCTACCTCTGTGTTGTTGTATGGATTCAGCAGGGTTATCGTGCACTCCAGCTAAGCACCACCCAAGAGGACCAGTGGCTGCCTGCTGCTCTATACCTATGCTGAATATTATCCTAAATGGGATGAGGCTGTTATGGCTGAACAACTTCACCATGTGCAGGCTGAGCAGATATCCAGCAAAGAAATCAAAGGCATGATGTCACCAGTATTTCTTATCTAAAATTAAATATCTGTCTTAAGTCCCCAGACACACAGAGACCTTGTATAAGAAACATATACTGAGAGTTCAAACTCTGAGTCATCTCATATATATTTCACTCAAGCCAAGGGAATAGCAGCGAGAATAGACCTGCAAAAGAGCAATTCTCTATTCCAGCAAGAGGACGAGAAAAAATGTTCAGGGAAAAATTAATGGGTTCACAAGCAAAAAAATCTTACCAATGAAATTGTGGCTCTAATATTCTGTACCTTTGCAGTAAAGCCATGATTTGCTGTGGAAAATGCAGCAGAGAATAAATGTGTCAACTCGTGCTCATTAATGGTAGAGACAGAGCAAGTGGCATTTAAAACAAGCCTGCTCAGAGGGAAAGAGAAAGTTATTTATTCTGAAGTCATAAAATGTTTGTTGACACAATTAGATTTCAAGAGCAAGTCACAGTGCTGTGGGGTGCCATCGGCCGGGCAGGGCTAAGCCAAGCTTTGGACTTGCTGAAGCCAAGGGCTGCTTTTCTGCTGCTGCTCTCGGATGCATCACTGGGGGTGACATGGCTACTGCTGTGCCCTTTCTGAGCAATAGTGCCACAGTTGTTTCAGTCCAGCCATTGGGGGCTAAAATGGGAGACATGATGCTGGAAATTATTTGTCCCCATCTGTGCTAAGTGGTGAATTGTACCAGTCAGCCAACTCGAGCCTCAGCAGCTGCACTCTGAATAGCACAGCCAATAGCTCTGGATCAAGAGCACTTTTAAGATCCCTCTACCTTTTGTCTCCTTAGTATCCCCTTAATGGCCCCTATTTAGTCACCAGTCCCATG